CACACACACACACACACACACACACACACACACACACACACACACACGACACATTAAGCAAAATAAGATTTGTCCATGTTATAATCCAGTCTCACAGTCAAGTCACCCACCCCAGCCTTTTGAAGTCATTTGGCAGCTAATGCTAAAAAATAACAGGAACTATGAGAGTTGCATAGAATTGATCAGAAACATGAATAATGCCAAACCCAAAACCTGTGCATTATACAGCTTAACAAAACTAGGTGGCTTCAAATGCAACTATGAAATCCTCCTATTTAAAACAAAGTGCTTCCCCATGTCTACCTGGGGGACCTTCTGCTGGCATTGAAGCAGAAAAGAATTATTTGAATTTCTGATCCCCTGCCCTGCCCCCACAATATATATATAATATGTATACTTTTTTAAAAAATTAAAGGTTTAGGAAAAAAAAAAAATCAACGGACTGTAGGATCCCCTAACTCTGATCATGTAAACTCAGCCTTTAGGCTGGGTAAGGTGTTGACCTACATGGGGAGGAGGCCTGGGAGGTCACACAGAGGAGTGATTAGAATTCTAGAGTGTCCAGAGCATCAGCTGAGCTAGCAGGCCTGTTAGTATCAGTAGTCTTACCCCAGAGGTTGCCTGCTTCACGAGCTCTGGTCCAGTGACCTACCAACATGCGTCTATGGATCTGACTTAGGTACATTCTGGTCCTGGGACAAGTCACAGAATCACACATCTGGCCAGAGAAGGCAACAAAAGGTGTCATGTTTTCTGAAGGTGTCGGGAGGCAGCAGCTGCTTTCAGCAAGTCTCTTTCCCTTGAACCCCGGTTGCCGTCTTTATGGAGCTCAGTGTTCGGTTAAACCACGTCTTCTTGGCTGCCTGCACCTCATTGAGGGCAAGGCCTAAATGGTGCTCCAAGTCCTGCAAGAGGGACAGTGCGCATGAGGATGCTGGGCTCGCTGTCGATGACACTGGCTCCCCAGAGGAGAGCCAAGACAAGAATTCAGTCTATTTACTCTGGAGAGGCCTCAGGAAATTTCCCCAGTCTCAAACTGGCATAGAAACGCCTGGAATGCCTAAGGATTTGGATTTGGGAGCTTTTAGTTAAACTCTAATGTCTTGCCTGGTCTATTTATTAAAACAGTCTTCTACTTTCATGTCTCCCTCTTCTGTCCACCTAATGCATACCAGGCAGACAGCTTCTGCTCTACTTCTGATGCCATCATTTCATTTCGGCAAAAATCTTTAAACTCCCTGGCATGCCATTTGAGATGCTTCACAATCTGGATCCACACACTCTCTTCCAGCCTTAGCACCCTCCATCCCCTACTGCTTGGAAAGGATTCCTGAGGCTCCTGACTGGCCCCTCTCCTCCTCATTGCCGCTGGGCATGCCACTCCCTCCTCCTGGAATGCTCACTGTTCTCTTGCTCCTGTTAGCTACAACCCCTGTGCGTTCTTTGATCACAGCACGGCTACTGCTGCCTTGGTGATGCCTTTCCTGATTATCCCGGGTAGTCGCACTACCAGGCCTTAGCTTTGCAGTGCCAGACCTATAACAGGGCCTGCCAAAGAGCAGATGCTGAGTGAATGCGTGCAGTGAGAAAGAATCAGCCCAAAAGCTTTTAACCTGACCTTGGTTCCCTCCATAAACAGTGCTTAGCGTTTAGTGGTGCTGGTGGACTTAGCCAAGCATATAAAGATGACCAAAACAAGCCCTAATTTCTTTATCAGGAAAGGAGGCTTAGATAAATTAGATAATATATTCACAGTCACAAAGCTAGTTAAATGGTAAGAACTGGAACAATAAAAACTTGCATTTATAAAGCCCCCATCATTCTGCCAAGCCTTTTGTGCACACTGTCTTACTTAGTCCTCAAACCAACTCATCAGATAGGGACTCTCAACATTTCCATTTGTAGATAAAGAACCTGAGATGCAGGGAAGTTACTAACCCAAGGTCAAACGGTTCAGTGGTAGAGGCTTGGTTCTAAAGCACTGTCTTCTCATCCCACCAAAAGATTCCAAGCTTTGTGTATCATTCTCCATGTGACAAAGTGGAAATTCCTAAGACAGGGCAAGTACTGAGGAGATATCCACTGGCCAATAACAAGTCCTGTACTTCTTCCCATGAGAACTATGATCAAAGTTTATAAGGTAGGGAAAAACCCAAACCATAAAGATAATTTCTGGGGTTTCTAGTCCACATCAGGAAATCCAGCCCGCAAACGCGCGTCTGAGTTCTGTTGCTGTTACCTGTATCTTACACTCGGCTTCCACCAGCTGGAGTTTGGTCTGTGCCAGTTCTAGCTCCATCTCTCTCAGTTGGTTCTTGAGCGTCTCCTTCTCTTCATCTGTGTCCTCATCTAAAACCTCCTTGGTTGAGCTTATGCCTTTTACACGCCCTTCTTTGTTGAAAAATTCCCGGCACCGCTCACAGTCATCCACTTTTTGCTGAAATTGAATGTTAGATGTGAAGAGGCAAAGAAGAAGAACTGGCCCTTTAGGGTGGTGTGAACATATCCTTTGGGGGACACCAAAAGACAGCTTGTCTGTTGAACACTACAGTTTCTGAAAACGTGTGCTCTCTTTGTAAACTGGCAGATAATCTACTGGAAAAGCCACTTAGTATTATATATCTAAAATAATAAAAATATTATTGTCTTGATTCAATAATCTTACTTCCAGCAATCCAGGCTGAAAAATGAAGCTGTGACCAGATAAAAATTTATGTACAAAAATGTTCACTGCAGAATTGGAGACAGGCAAAAAAGTGGATACACTATTAAAAAACAAATTAAGGAAGCACACAGCTCCTAAAAGGTTTTTGAGGAACTTTTTATAACATTGAAAAATGGATGCATACTGATTGAAAGAAACAGAACACAAAAATGTACATAAATTGTAGTTACAAATAAAATGTATCCCACATTTCATCAAAATAAGATGCCATTAACTGTAAGAAATACCATTTTATCTTCTTCTAAGAAAACATTCTGCCGATTAAACCACAAAAAGCCAATTATAAAATATCCCACTTTCGGAGATGTGAATGTGAAAAAAATGCTTATCTTAGAATGAATGAAATTTTATATGTTACACACAGAACAAAGACTGAAAGAATACACACCCCAGTGTTAATAATGATGTCATATGTGGGAAATGGATCATAAGGGTTTTTTCCTCTTATTTACTCTTATTTGCCAAATTTTCTGCAAGAATATTGAAGTTTTAGAATCAGAAAATAAATTCTATTAAAAAACAGATCTGGTTAAATATTAACTATGATGGAGGCCAGTGTCATCTTGCTCTAGGTATAATGTTGCTTTGTGCAAACATGGCCATGAGCCCAGAACTTTCCTAAGTTCATGTCTTGTAAGTTGTAAATATGTTGGCGAGGTACCTTTCAGGAAACTGCTTATCTTAGTAAAATTTGACAAGTACTCTAATATAGATAGAGCTTCAAGAAAGAGAGTACCACATTGTAAAAGCTCCTAAGCTGTCAACAAAACATTGAACAATTAAAGTTGTGAACTGGGCACAATGGTGCCCACCTCAGTCCCAGCAGCTCAGCGTGAGGTAAGAGATCACTTGAGCCCAGGATTTCAAGGCCAGCCTGGGCAACATAGTGAGACCCTGTTTCTAAAAATAAAATAAAAAATAAGGTCCTCACTGTACTTGGATCTGTTATAGCAGAAGGCATGAACTCAGTTGTGGAGTGTCTGTTCTACAGAACAACACTGGAGAGTGACAAGTCACAGCACATGATTCTGACCTCTGCCCTCCCACCTCTGACCTCTGCACTCCCACCACCTCAAGCAAGCCCTATCACTTGCACGACTCCTTCACCTCAGCATCACACTGCTGGCATTGACTGTCTTACAGACATTTGGAAATCGTGGGGCACTTGCACTTTGAGATCTAAAGCTAGAGCTTGTTTGGTTTCATCTGTACACCCTTCCAGAAAAAACAGGCATAATGTTAGTTGTCAACTTACTGAGCCAGGACCTGTGACAGGTGCCTTATCAGGTATTGCTTAGATTCTCTCACTTTTGAAATCAACTGCCTCCCCCTAAAACCTGTTTATACAGCCATAAAATGAAGCAGGTGGTATAAAATCTTTTTGGTAAAGAGAAGTCTTACCCGAATTTTCTCAATTTCGATCTTATTGGCTGTCTGCTGCTTTTCCAATCTTTCACTCAACTGAGAACAAATCTAAAGAAACAAATATAAAACAACAATCTCTTGAGCAATGGTAAGCATCTGCATAAATCTGTAGTGAAAGCTGGAATATGTAAATTGGAATTAACACAGTAGTAAACAGGCTGCTACTGCTCAGGAGGGGATATGAAGTTGATGGGTGAGCAGAGGTTCTTCTAGCTATGCCGCCTCTGCATTCATTGGCCTAAGACTTGCAGAAACCAAGTAGCACCACACTCAATGGCCAATGGTTTCCGAACACTTGCCAGACTCCCAAGCCAGCATGAGATCCTAGTGTAGGAAGGAATAAGACCATTCAGTTATGTTCTTAAAACTCAACCAGTTGGCCAGGCCCCATGGCTGACGCCTGTAATCCCAGCACTTTGGGAGGCTAAGGCAGGCAGATCATGAGGTCGGGAAATCAAGACCATCATGGCAACATGGTGAAATCCCATCTCTACTAAAAATACAAAAATTAGCTGGGCGTGGTGGCGCCCACCTGTAGTCCTAGCTACTTGGGAGGCTGAGGCAGGAGAATTGCTTGAACCTGGGAGGTGGGGGTTGCGGTGAGCCGAGATCACACCACTTGCGCTCCATCCTGGCGACAGAGAGAAACTCTGTCTCAAAAAAAAAACCAACTCAGTCAGGGAGAGAACTGGTTTAAAACTACACATAAACAAATGTTCGTAATTCTGAATCTGAAATACACCCCAAAATATACTGTGGTTTTAAGTACCTACTATGTGCTGGACACTGTGTCAGGCACTCTACAAACATGGTCTTTTTGAATCCTCATAAAATCCCTCCCAGACAGGGATGATTTTCCTTAGTTTACAACTGAGAATAAGTAAAGCCGCTTGCCAATGCAAGGGGCAGAGCTTGGATTTGAAACCAGAGAGCTGAAGCTTTTGGTTTGTCGGGGGGTGGGGGTGGGCATACACTTTATCCAGAGAAACTATGTAGCTCAATTCCAGGGTACTGGAACCTACCTGCTTATAGTCACCGATGATAGAACTGTTCTTTTTAATCTCAGATTCTGCCTTGTCAAGTTCCCGACGGCACATTTCTTTTAACTGCACACATAAAAAAGCAAAAGTGCATATGTTAACAGAAAAATAAAAGAAGTTCTGCGACCAACCGCTCAGTGCTAGGCTTCCCGAAGGGTGCTGAACCAAACCCTGAAAGTGCTCTAATTCAACTACTTCCTTCCTTCGATCTTGGCAGCACTAATCTCCTGTTTCGGATGCAGGAGAAGGAGAGAACAGTCAAAACTTCCAGAATTTCAGATCAGGGCTTCTGCTGAAGGTCTTCCCGGCCAGTACAAGCCAACTTGTGGACATCCACTGAGATGGCAGCACAAACCAGACACAAACCAAAGAGCTCGTAAGAGGACTGCAGATTTTCAGCATCTCATGGTTTATGTAAAAAGGGCTTTGCCGTCTCTCACCCCAGCCAGTCTTGTCTCCTGGAGAACCAGGGTGGGAGACGGGAGGGAGGTTGCTTCAGGGTGTACAGCACCCAGAGCTCTTCCCATGACTGCAGGTCCGTGTCTCCAGTAACCACGGAGCACTGGCTCAGAACGAGACTTCCTGAGCTTGCTCTGTGAGGAAAATAGCAGAGGACAAGTAGGGAAAGAGCCAGGCATTATATGATGTGTGCTTTCCTTCTGCAGAAATTCTACCCCCTCTTCTTTGTTACAGTCAGAGGCTGATACACAGAAATTTTCCTACCCCAACAAAGGATGGGCTTTGACCCACTTGTCTCCTCCTAGGCTTTAATTAGGAACCACTGGACTTCACATAGTAGGAGAAAAAAAGGTCTTTGAACAGAAACTGAAGCCAACTGTCTCCAGGTTTTCTCGTGCCAACATGAAGCCACACGCTGAACTCCTAATTCCCAAGCATTTGCAAGACAGAGGAATGTGAGACAGTTCCCTCACCTGGGCAGACTCTTCTTCAAGACGTCTTTTCTCTTCTTCTGCATCAATCAACTTCTGTTTGGTCATCAGCAGCTCCTTATTCAGAGCATCTGCCTTTTCCTCAGCCTGAAACATTTAAGATATGCTGTCACAAAACAAGAACAGAACTGCAAAGAGTTTACATTACTTAGCATAATCCCATTTTAAGATGATGGGGAAACTGATTCAGAGAGGGGAAATTATATCCTCAGGGTCATCGCAATGAGAATACACTCAGCAGAAGTGCCTGGCCCAGTCTCTCGCTCAGAGGTAGTGCAGGGCAGTAGTTAGGAGCTTAGCCTTTGGCATCAGACAGCCTGGGCTCAGTGCCCATTGTTCACTGACCATGTGCCACTTGGACAAGTCACTGAGAACCTCTCTAAGCTTCAGGCTCATCTGAGGGATAAGGCATGAAAAGCATTCAGCACAGTTCTTGGAATACAGTAAACACCAATAAAAGGTAGCCATCATTATTATTAATAAACTGGTTTGCCTCCTGCAAACTGTGTTTCCTCTGCTTCATCCAACCCACCTGGCATTTTTCTCTTGTTATTACCTGATAAAGGACGCTGCCCCTTTCCTGGTACTTTTTCTTTCTCCACCCCAGTCTTTTTTTTTTTTTTTTTTTTTTGAGACAGTCTCACTCTGTTGCCCAGGCTGGAATGCAGTGGTGTGATCTCAGCTTACTGCAATCTCCACCTCCCAGGTTCAAGTAATTCTCCTGCCTCAGTCTCCTGAGTAGCGGGGACTACTGGCACATGCCACCATGCCAGCTAATTTTTTGTATTTTTAGTAGAGACAGGGTTTCACCATGTTAGCCAGGATGGTCTCGATCTCCTGACCTCATGATCTGCCTGCCTCAGCTTCCCAAAGTGCTGGGATTACAGGCGTGAGCCCCAGTATTTTTCTAAAGCATGCAGGGGCATGGTGGGCATATCTGTGAGTCCTAGTGAAAACGATATGCTTTTGCCTGACATATGAGTTCCTGGTGCTGGTCACTCAAGGACTAACCACAGAGGGTCTCTGCTGGGCTCCTTATGTGGATGGAATGGAATTTCCCTGAAATTCTGACATCAACTAAAGTCGTGTAACTGAGCCACTGGGTTTTTCCACTGTAGTCTACTTCCTTTCCTGTATCTTCTTTGGAAGAAACAGGTTCCAGAGAGCTGGGTCCTTACATTGAGAACTGAGAATGGCATAATATGCAAATTCCAAAAGCCATTAATTACTGGCAAACTGCACATGCATGCAATTAAATGGGGCCCTGCAGTTATGTCCTTTGTGGGGAGTACCTTATCATCTCCTTCTCCAGCTCAAACCCAAGAAGCAATCAAAAAAGGAAATGAAGAGAATCAAACGACAGGGAAAACAACTAGTAAGGAGAATGAAGTCCTGTTAAAGATTCTACTTTACTTTAACCAATGGAACAACCTATCCTCTCTCCCTTGGACTCGGTTATCATCTTTTGAGCATGACACTGGAGCATGTGCCACACGCTTATGTTCTGTCCCTTTCTCATCATCACTACCATGGCAGATGACAGTTAATACTAAGACTGCCTGATGATGAACTGGGTCTTCTAACTCAACAATCTTCCCTGCCCAAGTTTATAAAGCAGTTAGGTGGGAAAGTGATTTCCCCAAGCTCTCACCAGCATGTGGGATAGCTGGAAGCTGAAACCAAGTCTTCTGACATTGAGCCCAGCATTTGCACCACCACTCCTACAGCTGACTCTCAATGTCATGCCAATGGGAAAGTGCATAGAGGATACTGGCCTGACCCAACCAGGGACCTCTAATGGCACCACACTCACTGCACATTCTATTTACATCAGCATATGAGGAGAGGGCATCTGGTGGTGATAAACACAAATCCAGACTTCTTCCAGGCACACAGGATTAACAGGGACCAAAAGTTCATCCTCCTACTATAAACAGAAAACTGGATAAAATATATGAAACAGCTATTTTCAGACAGAACAATAAATGCAGAACTGAGGTTTCTGAAAGCAAAAAAACAAACAAGGTCCTACTTTCACCCTGGCCTTCTGCCTAGGTTCCAAGCAGAGCATGAAAGCCTCAAAGGCTTAATAAGGAGGCAGTTAGGAGGTCAGGATGGCTGGAAGGCATGGGATAGGGCTCTGGAGAAGAGGGAGCTCTAGAGTAGCTTATCAGGCAGCACAGGCGATAAATGAAATAATGAAAATATCCAATTAAACCAAGGAATACAGAAAGAGGAAAAAATGCAAAGAGGACAAATAGAAAACAAATCACCATTTGGACAAAACAAAAACCCATTTTAAATGTAGAGACACAGACACATTGAAAGTAAAAGGATGGAAAAGATGTGCATACTCCACAACACCATGAAACTGGACTGGCTATAGAAATGTCAGGTAAAGCAGATTTCAGAACAAAGCATATTATCAAGGACAAAGAGGGACATTTCATATTGATAAAGAGTCACTCCATTAAGAAGGTGTAACAATCCAAAATGCATGCAGAAATTCAAATTAAATGAAACAAATCCCTACACAACAGAAAGGAGAAAAAGAAAAATGCATAGTTAAGAGTCACAGAAAATTCCACTGTGCTCTCTCAGTAAGGGACAGAACAAGCACAGAAAATCAAGTTGTTCTATGTAAGACTTGAACACTGTCAATCAATTTGACCTAAGCCAGTACACTGCACTCATAACAGAACATACATACTTTCCAAGTGCATGTGGTATGTTCACCCAAACAGACTATATGATAAGCCATAAAATAAGTAATAATATATTTTAAAAGGATTAAAATCAGACAGGATATAATCTCTGATCGCAACAGAATTAAATGAAAAACAACAGAAAAGTTTCTGGGAAAAAGAATAGTTGGAAATTACATTACATACTACTAATAAACTTACATAAGTAAAAGAATAAATCACAAGAGCTGAATGCTGAATATCACGAGCTGAATGAAAATAAAAGGCCAACATATCAGAATGTGTGGAATACAGCAGAAAATAGTGCTTACATAGATTTATGATTTTTCTTGTTTTTTTTTCCCTTCAAAGAGACAGAGTCGAATTCTGTTGCCCAAGCTGAAATGCAGTGGTACCATCATAGCTAACTGTAACCCTGAACTCCTGGGCTCAAGCAATCCTCCCATCTCAGCCTCCCAAGGAGGCGGGGCTACAGGCATGTGCCACCATGCTCAGCTATTTTTCAAAATTTTTTTGTGGAAACGAAGTCTTGCTATGTTGCCCAGGCTGGGCTCAGACTCTTGGGCTCAAGCAATCCTCCTGCCTTGGCCTCCAAAGTGCTGAGATTACTAAAGGCATGAGCCATTGTGACTGGCTGAGATGAATAATGTTAAATGCTTATTTTAGAAAAGAAAGGTTCAGAGTTATTCAAACTTCCTCTTTAAGAAGCCAGAAAAAGCAAAGGAAACCCAAAGAAAGTAGGAGAAATAAAAAGCAGAAATCAATGAAACAAGACAACAGAGAAAAATAAATAAAACCAAAAGTTGAATTTTTTTTTTTTTTTTCTGGGACAGGGTTTCACTATCACCCAGGCTGGAGTGCAATGGCGTAGTACGTCAGCTCACTGCAACCCCTACCTCCCAGGTTCAAGTGATCCTCCTGCCTTAGCCTCCTATGTAGCTGGGACTACAGGCACATGACACTACAACTGGCTAAGTTTTGTATTTTTGGTAGAGACAGCGTTTTGTCATGTTGCCCAGGCTAAAGCTGGCTTTTGAAAAGATTGACACAATTGATAAACTTCTACCTAGGTTGGTTATAGAAAACAGGGAAAAAAGATAGAAATGATGTACATTAGGAATGAAAGAGGGAACATCTCTACAGATCTTATAAACATTAAGAGAATAAGGAAATATAAACAACCTTATGTGAATACACTTAAGATCAAATGGATAAATTACTTGTAAGACACAAATTATAAAAACAGACACACAAAAAATTAGAAAATTTGCATAGCTTCATATACAGAAAAAGAATTCACCATTAATTTCCTGCAAAGAAAATTTCAGGTCTGGGCCGGGTGTGGTGGCTCACCCCTGTAATCCCAGCACTTTGGGAGGCCGAGGCGGGCGGATCACTTTACAATAGATTAAAATATGCACATGTCTTGTAAATTGAAAACTAAAAAAACACTGCTGCTGAGAGAAACTGAAAAAGACCTTAATAAATGAAAATTTTAACATGTTCTGGATTGAAAGCCTTAATTGTTATTCAGATGTCAATTCTCTCCAAATTGATTTACAGATTCCATGAACCTCACTCAAAAACCAGAGGCCTTTATTTCTAGAAATTGACAAGCTGATTCTAACACTGATATGGAAATACAAACAACAACAAAGTCAAAGAACTCTCACATGAACTGATTTTAAGATTTTTTATAAAGCTACAGTAATCAAGGCAGGACTGGCTTAAGGACAGACACACAAATAGATGGAGCAGACCAGAATTAAGAAGTGAACCTGCACATTTAGGATCAACTGATTTTTAATAAAGGGGCCAAACTAATTCAATGGAGCAAGTTCAACAATCTGCTCAAGGTCACAGAACTAGTAAGCAGTCAAGGCAGAGTTCACATCCTGCCAGCAGGTGGGCTCACCAGCCAGTTTCCTTCACTCTCACGTCTGTCTCAACACAGAGGAGCGATCCTGCTAGAGAGAACTCGGACATGGTCCTGTCAGTTCTGCAGGGACCTTCCACAGGTTCCCTCACATCCTTTCAGCACCAGTGTCAGGTCTAGTCATTACTCCCATTTCATACAGAAAGCTTGATTGGGGTCACCTAGGGATTAAGTGGCTGACTTGGAATTTCTCCACAGCTGCTGTGTGAAGAACAGCAAAAGTGACAGGTGGTGAATAACAAAAGTGATGTATAATCAACTGAAAATATAAGAGGGCTCTGCAAATTTTAATGCCTCACATCAGAGCTTTTCTCTGAGATGCAGGAAGGAAAGAGCTCAAAGGAATGAAGTTCTTTCAAAAACTTAAGTCCCTAAAGTAAAAACATAATGAAAGGGCCCCACAGTCCTCCCTTCAGTGAGGAAGAATCTAGCTGATTTTCAGTGATGACTCAAAAGAAACTAGAGAGAAGTCTGACTTGGGAAAGGAAAGGGAGTGTGGGAAAGGTATGTCTCTGTAGCATTTTGGGTGACTGCAGGATGGGCCTTGGTGTAATGCTCCTGAGCCCAGCCATCAGCAGGAGCTCTCCCCGCTGCCTACTTAGGAGGGTAAGCTCTGGTGTCAGGCCTTCAATCTGAGGGCTTGGCCACTAGCTGATCTGTATAAGATATTTAACCTCTTTTTGCTTCAGTTTCCTCCTCAGTTAAACAGGGATCATAATCACATCCCTTTTACAACATGAGCTACTCTGAGGATTTGACAATAATATAGAAAGCATGTAAAACAGTGCCTAGCACTTGATAAGTCCTCAAGAAATGTTAGCTCTTATGTCACAATCCCTGATCCTCATGTTTTTGATATAGTTATGACATCGATTCATAGCTCCTTGTCCCGTATTTACTGTGGAAACAGGGTGGCACTGTAAAAAAAAAAAAAAAAAAAAAAAAAAATGCCTGGCCATTCTAGTTCCAAGGGCCTGGCTCTGCTTCTTCCTGGGTGCCTTCACCTTAGTCTCAAGTTTTATAGCTATTAAAAAAAATAAATCCTGATCCATAAACGAAACTTATGTTACTGTCCTCTCAAGGCTGAGGTAAATGTAAGAGAGATGAACGTTTAGTAAAATGCTTATCATAGTGCCTGGCACTACAAATCATCAGTAAATGGGGGCTCATATTATAATTTTTATTATTTTGCACTCTTAATATCAGGAATAAAACCTAGTTCTCTCCCTACTGTGTCAGGATAAGACAACTTAAAAAAGGGTTTATACTGTTTAGGGGCAGGTTTTAAGAACATAAGTAGTCTACGATTCACTAGTGGGTGTCACTGTTAATACTGGGCCTGTAAGAGTGGAAAATGCAACAGCTCAAACGAAAAATCTACTTGGAATTTTTGCCTAAGCTGCCTGTTAATTTCATTGTAGGACACAAAGGCTCCTGTTTTGGACTCATATGTTTCTTCTTTTCCTTTTCTACCTCCTTTCTGCATGACCCACAGTTGCTATGAGGACCATGTTAGGCGCACACCTCTGGCCCTGCTTCAGCAGTCGCTCTTCCATGTACACCTGTCTCCCTCCACTCACTAGGCAGAAATACCTGAGCAGGGAGAGAATGATTCATATAGTGTTTCTACAAAGAGCAACAGGATATGCTGGAAATTTGCACTGCAGGGAGGAAACTCAACCCTGATGAGCAGACTATGTAAGCCAAAAAGCCATCAAGAGAGCTCAGGTTCTGGTCATTGAGCGCTAATGACCCTGAAACATTATCCCTGCAAAAACTGGAAAGAGGAGCCTTCCCCATTATATGTAGTTATTTGTAGGTGACAAGCAGAGGGAGCTAACACTGCCTATGCCTAATTTTTTTTATGAGGCTTTCATATATATCTAATTATGTAATTCTCGCTATGCCCTGTGACATAGCTATTATTCTACCACCCTTCATTTTACAGGGTGTCTGAGATGAGCTGAAAGTACAATAGTTGGCATTAGAATCCAAGTCTACTCTACATTTTCTAAACTGGTAGATACCGTGATCTCTTTCTCACCTGTTAACCACTTTAAGAATCTGATGAAACCACAGACTTTCTACCTATAAGAACTGAACGAAAGCAAGGCTTTTCAATGAGATGCATGAGTACACAAAATTTTCATAAGCTTCTGGTGGATGTCAAGGACATCCTGAAATTCATGGACCCTATGGGGTTCAGTGCATATAATGTAAGATCACGTAAAAATCCTCAACAGCCTGAGCCCATCCCTAGAACTTTAGGAAACCAACGAGCAGAAAGGTAATTAATCCTAGGAGCCTGGCAGGGAAACCTAAAGGGTTGGCAAACTACAGTTCAAGGGCCAAACTCAGCCTGTTACCTATTTTTGTAAACAAAGTTTTTAATTGGAACACAGCCATGCTCATTCATTTGCATATCATCTATGGCTGCTTTTGCTAAGTAGTAGCAATGGAGACCGTAGGGCCACAAAGCCTCAAACACTTACTATTCATCCCTTTACAGAAAATGTTTGCCAACCTCTGACCTAAATCAAGACTGAGAGATTACACCACTTCTTCCAAGGTTAGTTTGTAGTACAGAAAATAGAAAAAGGTTTCTGCCAGGAAAGACATCATTCCAAAACGTTTAAGATTAGAAGCAGCAAAGAAAAATGAAACATCTGCCAACAGAAACTCCTGATGAAACTGCAAGTTGCTGAGGTACTGAGCTGCATTCCAACTGCTAATGCTTTTTCAACAGGCACCAAATATGTAGGATAACAAAATCTCTTCTTGTCTGAAGGGGGGAGGTTAAGGAAATTATGATGATTAAATGCTCCCGCCAATTACAGTAATGTAAAAATTACAGGTCTCTTAATCAAACGTTTGGGAAAGGAGCTCAAGATTATATGCACAATAAGAAAAGAATGTGGTAAGGAGGGCTTTGTGAGAAAACAGATAATTTCTGGAAAAAAGGAGAAGTGACACTGATAAGCAAGTTGTATCACAAGAGGGAAACTTTACAGGTGGCTGGATTAACAAACACTAAAATTTAAGGATTTCCCCTGAGGGGAGAAGTCAAGTGTCTCAGTGTGATCTTCCCGATCTTTCCCTCAGACCCGAGGGACTTACGTTATCCAGGTCCTTCCTTAGTGCAATCTTGCTGGTCACCAGTTCATGGGCTAAGTCATCGTTTTCCTGTTCCAACCTCATGTTAGCTTCTTGTAGACGCCTATTTTCCCGCTGAAGGGTAGAAAGAAACCAGTTACAGACACATAAAAATCAGATGGAAATGACAATTTCTCAGGGCTAAACCTCAAAATAAATTTCTAAGTCCTATGGAAATAAGAGACACAGCTGGACCTGATGTGTTTCCAAATCAATAATTTCTTATTTTCTAGCTCCATAAAGAAATACTTAACTGATTCAAGTGACCTTGTCAAGTGGCTACTATTTACTGTGACAAAAAACCACTGAACTATAACAAACCAGACAGCTGGTTTGAAGCAAAAACAGATCCTGCTTGCTAATTTGCAAACTCAAACTGAAACCTGAACCTACAAACAGAGGAACTGATTTTTAAAAAGGACTCAGTAAAGCTAGTTACAGGCACAATCACATGAAATGAAAGGCTGGGAGCTCATCACATGTAGGGCATAAGCAAACAAACCTCAAATCGCTCAATGGGGTCTTCTTGCTGGGCCTGCTGTTCCCTCATGGTGTGATATTCCTTCTCATATTTTTTCAACTTCTTCTGACTAATCTGTAGTATAAATCACAGGGCAAATTAAGAAGTATAAGAAAGTAGTGCGTACTTCAGTGCCTGCAATGAAGACCAAGACTTCTGGTGGCCTGGGCAATCTCGGTCATGGACGTGGTGTTTCCTATTTTTCTGGAGGGAAATCATCAGGGTAGGGTATAAGCCCAGGACCCCAAATTTTCAATGCGTTCAGAGTTCTGCTGGAGATGTTTGGTTCCTAAGGCTTTAACTGACAGTATTAGAATGAACACCCTATAGATGGCTCCTCCTATGAGTTCTGGGTCCTATCTGTCCCTAATAATTATAAGCCACCATTTTATTTAGCATCTACCAGCACTGCTGCTAAATGCTTTAAATCTGTGACCTCACAACACGTCTACGAGGTGTGCTATTCTCATCCTCCTCTTATAGTCAAGTTAACTGAGGTATGAGGAAGCTGGTTATGAAACTTGACCAAAGTCATAAAAAAGGGACGGGGAGATCTGGGATTTGAGCCCTGGCAGTTGTACTTCATCCAAAGTCCTCACTATCCTAGCACCTCTCTATCCCCTTTCTTCTCTCTACCTCCTCTGTGCTGCTTTCAAAAATTATCTCTACCCCTAAAAACACAGCTCTGCTGACTACTCTGCTTAGATGCCCTCTCACCCCATCAGATTATTGTTCTCTCTCAAGCCTTTTCTTACCCACCATTGCAAACCACAGGCCTGTATCTTCACCTCTGTTGCTTCAAGACCTCCGCCTCCTTATTGTAAGTCAGGCCTTTGCTCTGACTACTCTATGAAACAATCCTCTTGAAGGTCACCAGTGGTGTCTTTTTACTCTGCCCAGTGAGTCTTATAGCTCCCAACTAAACTTCAAAACTCCTGGAATTTTTTTTTTTTTTTTTTGAGATGGAGTTTCACTCGTTTCCCACAGTGAAGTGCAATGGTAAAATCTCGGCTCACCACAACCTCCACCTCCTGTGTTCAAGTGATTCTCCTGCCTCAGCCTCCGGAGTAGCTGGGATTACAGGCATGTGGCACCACACATGGTTAATTTTGTATTTTTAGTAGAGATGGAGTTTTTCCATGTTGGTCTGGCTGGTCTCGAACTTCTGACCTCAGGTGATCTGCCTGCCTTGGCCTCCCAAAGTGCTGAATTATAGGCCACTGTGCCCGGCCCAAAACTCCCTGACTTTCATGCTTTAACATGACCAATCCACTCTGCTTTCTTCTAGAAAATCTTTTCTCCCTTTATTTACTTGGCTTTCCTTCTACCTAACAGGTTTCCTCCCTTTACTTGTTGGCTCCGTCTCCTTCTTCAAACTAAACTATAACCAAGTGCAACATACCTTCCAGATGCAATTGCCGTTTCTTTTCCTCTTTGAGACGGAAAGAGATAGTGAGACAGAGACATTGAGAGAGAGACAGGCACTGTTTTTCCCCTCACCCAAGCTGGAGTGCAGTGGTGTTATCTCAGTTCACTGAAGCCTTGACATGCTAGGGTCAGCTGATTCTCCCAACCTCAGCCTCCCAAGGAACTGGGACTACAGGCACACACCACCACATCTGGCTGATTTTTACTTTTTTGTAGGAATGGGGCTTTGCTATGTTGCCCAGGCTGGAGACTATCTTTCCTTCCTCTAAGCAGCTAACCTTTTCCTATGGTATTTTTTTAAATTACCTGTTCAAAAATTATAGGATAGAATAGAAAAGTGATAAAAACAGACGTGTGTAATTTAAAGACTGATTATGGCTGGGTGCAGTGGCTCACACCTGTAATCTCAGCACTTTGGGAGGCCAAGGCAGAAGGATCACTTGAGGCCAGGAGTTTGAGACCAGCCTGGGTAACATAGCAAGATGGTCTCTACAAAAAAATATGAAAATAAGCCAGGTATGGTGGCATGGGCCTACAGTCCCAGCTACTCAGGAGGCTGAGGTGGGAGGATCCCTTGAGCCCAGGAGGTTGAGAATGCAGCGAGCAAAGACTGCACCACTGTGTCCCAACCTGGGTGACAAAGTGAGACCCTATCAAAAAAAAAAAAAAAAAAAGAAAGAAAAAAAAACCCCAGGAAAAAAAAAAAAGAATGAGTATAAAGCTAATGTTCATGCCTTCTTGAAGCTTCAGTAATCAGCACTAAAGTCATGACTTGGAAATCTACCTATTAATCCCCAGGTCCAGGTAACTACGATTCTCAGATCTACTCCACTCCAACTTTCTTATTTTATAGATGAAGAAATAAGACCTAGAAAGGGGAAGGGATAGGCCCACATTTGCTGCGTGTTGGTGTCAGCGTCTCCAGACGCTCTCAGTGGGAGAGTGTGTTCCCCTCCCACTAACTGTGGACACCTCCTCTAGTCAGGCTGTTTGCAGGTCTGCTCTATTCCTGGACTCTGGCTGCTGCCCAAGGTTAGGCAGCCAGAAAGACAGCATTCTGCTCCAGCTGACATCTATAGAAAGATGCTCATTCAATACCTGGGGTGAGGCCACAAACTGGAGAGGGACATCTTTAAGCTGAGATCTTCTGCAGTTTAAGGCCAATGCTAGGGTAAACTTTTGTTGTGCACCTAAGTGACTCACAAAGAAAGCGCCTAAGTAAATTGTCTATGCTATCAGTAAGTGTACAGACAATCCTAACAGATCAATAGCAATGGAATAGAAAATAAATGAGGCTTGTGGGCAGAAAACACTTCATCCCAATGCTTTTGCATTCTGAGTAAATTAAAGGGAGGGCAGTGGTTATGAGGTGCCCATGGCACTTTAATAGAACCTTTACACAGACCAACAACTCATTTGCATCTTGCATTCTTATGATAGGATATGGGTATTTCTTTTTACTTCCATGTCTTCCAAGTTTTCTGCATTGAATATGAATTATTTTTATAATTAGGAAAAACAGAAATGCTGTTTAATTATCATTTTCATAATTATGCTAGGTTTCTCTAAGGGCTCTCCTTGTTTCTCTAGCTGATGGTCTTCATTTACTTCTGAATCAGTCCTCAGGGGTCACCTCTCAGGAATGGGTGTACACAAAGCTCTGTCATCTTCATAGACTCTGCTAGTCCAGAGTCCTGACTTGTTCACCAGCTCAGTCTTTAGCCTCATCTGTTCTCAGTCTCTTTCTCCCTCTCTCCCTTAAACACTCACCACAAACACAAAATCAAAAAAAAAAACCATTATAGCTTCTCATGGGTTCACAGCTGATGCTAACTTATGCAGGATGGGTGGCTACATACCAAAGCCAACTAGTTCGGGCTGCCTCTAAGGCACCAATTCCAAGATGAAGAGATGCCTGAAAACTGAATGGTTAGCCAGAAGGTACCAGCAGCAGAAGGATCAATATAAGCCTCATTTTGAGGCTATACCTGAGAGACCAGCACCTCTCAGTCTGCCTGTGATATGATCAATGTCTTTTCCAGGCCAGAACTGTCTCTCATTCATTGTTGTCCCTTGTCCATGCATAGCGAGTACCCAGAAATGCCTGCTAAAGGCCGCGTGCGGTGGCTCATTCTTGTAGTCCCAGCACTTTGGGAGGCCGAGGTGGGTGGATCACGAAGTCAGGAGACTGAGACCAACCTGGCCAACATGGTGAAGCCCCATCTCTACTAAAGATACAAAAAATCAGCCAGGTGTAGTGGTAGGCACCTGTAGTCCCAGCTACTCAGGAGGCTGAGGCAGGAGGATCACTTGAACTCGGGAGGTAGAGGTTGCAGTGAGCCGAAATTGTGCCACTGCACTTCAACCTGGGTGACAGAGCGAGACTCCATCTCAAAAAAGAAAAAGAAATGCTTGCTAAATTACTGAAAAGGGACTCCCTCTCCCCTGCATTGACTTTTCTTTTGAATGGAAATGGCAATCAAAGTGGATATGCAATGCAAGCATGTTCCTTCTGCCTGAACAACTTCACACCTGGCTCACTCCTATTCGCTTCTGGGATTACAGTTCTAACACCCCTTCTTTAGCAAACCCTTTCCTCATACCCTTGTCTGTCAGGCCAGGTCTTTCAGTTATGTAACTATTCTCATAGCGTAAAGTCAATTCCTCCCTGGCATCAATCCAAGCTCACAATTACTTAGGTTCCTACTTAATTGTCTGTCTTCCCACCAGGAGACAGGCCACATCTGTTATGCTTACTGTTGTATCTCCAGTGCTCAATGCTTGGAAAGTAATTGGGACTCACAATAATGGGATGTTAAACAAATCAAAGCCATAGGCTTTCTTTTTACCTTAATAAAGATGCAATAGGGACATTTATTTAACCAATAGTTGAGCACTACTATGTGCAGTGGCATTAGCAATATAAAGGTACATATAGATGCCGACGTACAAACTCCATGAGGGCAGGAACTCCTATTCATTGTGAAATTCCTAATGCGTTTCATACAGCAAGCATGAAAATACTTAATGAACAGAGACTCAGAAGTCCAAGATTCATTTTCTCTCTTACTTTTAACTTTTAATTGAATTCAGGAAGCAAGGGACGCTATGGATTTAGACTCAGAGCTCTGAATCATTCCCGCTGTTCGCTGATTCCTATCAGAAGGCTTTGGATATCACAGCTTCACACACAGAGGTATTTTTGCCCTCAAAGAAGATTAAATTTGAAATTCAATCCTTGTTCTGTTTAAATATACTTTCTTGGGGGAAAAGAAGCCTAACAAATACTTAGGATAAGACTGGGTTTGTAATTTAGGTAAAACCAACCTTTTACCCCACTGTAATTAGCAAAGGGGTTCTTAACACTGTTACAAATAGCAATACTTTGAAAGTCTCCAGAGAGCCATGGTTCCTCTCCAATAAAGAGTGCACAAAAGCCAACTTCCCGTCTCCCTTCACAATCAAACAGTCTACATACCTACCATTTAGGAGGGCTCATGGGCCCCCTGAGGCCTATCCATTGTCCCAGGTTAAGAAACCTTAAAATAGAGAGCAGGTACAGACTTGATACATGCCAGTTTGTTATTTTGACAGAAGCACAAATTCAGTCCAAAACATCTCTTCTTTGGTCACTCACTTGTCATTTATCTGTCACAGGAACTGGATTATGTATGTGCTTCTTAAAATCTATGCCACTTGCCCTAGGGAAGCCAGTCTCTTATCAGCCCCTGGAACAGGCAGTGACATCAAGGGCCGCACACATGGAGAAAAAGTAAGAGTGGCCGCTCACCTGGGCAGGCGTGAGGTGGTACAAACTGCCTACTAAGAGGTGGATGGACCAAGGCTGGAGTCTTGGCTCTGCCAATCACTTACTGTGTGACCAAGGGCAAGCTGCCTAATCTTAAGCCTCTTCTTACTCATCTGTAAAAATCCTAACAGTCCTTATGAGGACTGCTGTTATGAAGAGCAAAAAAAATAAAATATATATAAAGTCCTCAGAAGAGTTCCTAGCACCCAGTGAAGTATTTTCAATAAATTTTAGCTGCTATTTGTTGTTATTACCTGGCATCCTGTCCCAAATCAGGAGACAGAGCGACCCCTCTGAACGTGTGCTACAAAGAGCCATTTTAAGCAGCCAATTTAACACAGAAAAGCATGAAATAGGTTACCATGGGAAGTGGAGCTGATTTCCAAGTTTGACTTTAAAAAGTATTGCAAAAGTCATAATCCCTGCTGAGCTGGAGTCATAGGGAGTCTAGTGAGGTGGGAGGCTGAACATTAGTAGCTGTGCACGGCAAGAGAGAAGCATATTGTTGGGTGAGTTGGGTGGATAGTTGGGGGTAAGAAAGAATCTGATACGTTAAGGAGATCCTGACTCCAAAGTCTTCACTGCTTCGTGTGGTAGGATCAAAAAGCTAAATAAAAAAAATCTGGGCCTGGCACAGTGGCTAACATCTGTAATCCCGGCACTCTGGGAGGCTGAGGCGGGTGGATCATGTGGTCAGGAGATCAAGACCATCCTGGCTAACAAGGTGAAACCCCGTCTCTATTAAAAATACAAAAAATTACTGAGTGTGGTTGCACGCACCTGTAGTCCCAGCTACTTGGGAGGCGGAGGCAGGAGAATCACTTGAACCTGGGAGGTGGAGGTTGCAGTGAGCCAAGATCGTGCCACTGTACTCCAGCCTGGGAGACAGAGCGAGACTCCGTCTCAAAGAAGAAATCTGACACAAGCCCCATCATCCTGTTTAATGCTTGGGACAGGGACTGATTTTCAGTTACTGATTAAACAGAACCTGAGATTTACACAGGACTTTCAAGATAACAAGATGCCTACATACCTACTATTTTATTTACTTCTCAAAACAACTTTCTGAGATGAGTAGAGCAGGGATTATCTCCCTAATTTTACTGATGAGGAAGTAAGACGTATCTAGATCACATCATGTCATATCATAGATCATATCATAGGTGATACCTATGATAGATAGATCACATCATACCTGTCCAAAGTCAAGGACCCAGTGTTAAGTGGCAATACCAGCGTAAGAATGCAAGCCTGGCCAGGCGCAGTGGCTCATGCCTGTAATCTCAGCACTTTGGGAGGCCAAGGTGGGAAGATCAAGAGGTCTGGAGATCGAGAGACCATCCTGGCTAACATGGTGGAACCCCATCTCTACTAAAAATACAAAAAAATTAGCCAGGTGTGGTGGCATGTGCCTGTAGTTCCAGCTACTTGGGAGGCTGAGGCAGAATTACTTAAACCCAGGAGTTGGAGGTTGCAGTGAGATGAGATTGTGCCATTGCACTCCAGGTTGGGCAACAGAGCAAGACTCTGTCTGCCAAAAAAAAAAAAAAAAAAAAAAAAAAAAAAAAATCAAAACAGGGCAGGTCAGAAGAACACTGGTATTTGAGGGATGCAAGCAGCAGCTACTTAAAAGCATCATCTTATTCCTCTTTCACAACCCTGTGATGTTAACCTACCCTGGGGTCATACAACAGAGGTGCAGCCAAGATAAAAGCCAAGGTCTCAAAGGCCTACACTATGTACCAATGGAAATAAACATTCTATTTAATTTGAGCCTTTTTATTTAATTTTTTCAAACAGTTAATACTCGAACTCCTTCAAAGATCACTAAGTAGAATTAGGTACTCTGGTTCTACCACTAGAGTGTTTTTCTAAAATGCAAGAAGCAATTAGTATCAAAGAACCCAAACAGGTAAGGACTAAGGGAGATCAGCCTGTTAAGAAGGCAGTGTCCACCGCTAGCTACCCTTGCAACAACTGGCAAAATTTAGGTTCATTACAGAGAAAGAGAGCACCCATTCAGAAGAGAAGTTTCCTCCATAAAATCTGATTCTAAAAGGCAGGAACAAGCAAAGAAATAAAACTACAGTCTAGTCTAATTATAAGGAACTGAACTTTGTGTATTGTACAGAGAATAAGTTTGAACTCTGACATAGAGATCAAATTACCCATCATTCCATTACTAGCATCACCAAACAGGGATAACACACAAATGGCTTCTGTCCCATTCATAGAATCCGTCATCTACATTAAAGCAGAATGCCTGTAGAATTGACTTCAGAGTCTGAAACTCTTGGGATCTAATCCCACTCCATTAGTTACTAACTTTGTATCCTTTGGGAGTTTACATCAATTCTCTAAGTCTCAGTATGTACATCCCTAAAAGGACCTCATATGCTCACGGTGAGGATTATTTCACTATATGAGAGTACTGTGTAAGATTCTGTGAATCCATCAACAAACAAGACTGATGAAGTCGCTGATCCAGGGAGCTTAAATCTAAAATATACTAACTACACAAATGATTTGAACAGAGAATGAAGTTCAAACCAGTGTTGTTTTTAAGCTCTTGAATAAAAATATCCCCCAAGGGCAAATACTTCTGAATGCTGAAGAGTTTTCTGTTTCTCCAAATAGCAAATGGTTAAGAATTGTATTAATTTGAAGACACTGCTATTTGGTTTTTGTACTATTATCTTTTCTTACAAGTAGTTTGAAGTCTGGCACATTCACTTTATTTGTTTAAAATGACAAATTCAAATGAAGCAATGGTTCAGCAGCTCCATTTCACCTCAGGCAGGATTCTATGGCAAAATGGTCTTCAAGTTTGATCTAGGAAACTCACTGGGCCATCCCTTAGAGCATGATTCTTACTTCTTCTAAACTAGCCTCATATATCTGACTTGTTCTCAAAAATGTTTATACAGACATAAAGGAAGAGCTTCCCTCTCACATTTCTTGAATCAAAAATTTAAAAGATCTTTCAATACTCCCCTCTAAAGACTATGCATGGCACAATTGTATGAAAGGGCTGTGGAGCTCCCAAGATCATAAATGATCCTCTAGAATAATCTATTTAGAATGGAATTCCTTTTAGATCCTCTATCAGAAGTGGAACAATTTTTCTACATCAGGTCACTGATTCATAAAAGGGGAGAAGTTCAATGGATAGCTAAATGAATTTTGAGGAACACTGTTAAATTTTAGGTTAGGAGCAGGGGATCTAAACTCCTCAAGAAATAGTAAAATATTTCAGTCCCATAAGAAGTCTCACTTTAAGAAGAAAGAGGGAGAATGTGAGAATTAAAAGGCCTGGAAAAAGGCAAAAGTACAGACAGGCAAGTAAGGACAGAGATAGAAAAAGATTTATAAAGAAAAAAAAATCCCAAAGGCACAGAGAAAAATACAGACATTTTTGAGCAACACACAAGATGGTATTATATACCATCTTGTGGCCATTTCAGATATTGCCACACCAAATTTAATTCTTGCACCTTTGCAATGGTTAGAGGCAGTGGAATGGGTTGGAAAGCATTGGGAACACACAGTCGGAGCCTGCATTCTACTAGGGTGCTGTCACTATACAGTTGGTACAACTTGGATAAGTCACTTGATTTGCTCTATTGTATCTCACAGGTATTATGGGGAAGAAATAAGAGGCTTTTAAGAACTGTATCAATACTACAAATTACAACAATATCGTAATACAAATTACAACAATGGCTGGTGTAGTGGCGCGTGCCTGTAATCCCAGCACTTTGGGAGGGAGAGTTGGGACAATCACTTGAGTCCAGGAGTTTGAGACCAGCCTGGGCAACACAGTGAGACCTTGTCTCTACACAAAATGAAAAAAAATTAGCTAGGAAATAGTGGTGCATGCCTGTAATCGCAGCTATTTGGGAGGCTGACATGGGAGGATTGCCTGAATCTGGGAGGTCAAGGCTGCAGTGAGCCATGATTGTGCCACTGCATTCCAGCCAGGGTGACAGAGAAAGACCCTTCTCAAAAGAACAAAAAACACAACAATGACAACAAAAGTAGCTATCTATTTCCTAGAGTGGCATGTGAGGCAAAGTATTTCCAATTCTCACCTTATTCAGGAAGTATAGTTAACCCTTGAACAACATGAATCAGAGGCGCTGACCCCCTGTGCAGTTGAAAATCCATGTGTAACTTCTGACTCCCTCAAACTTTACTTACTAATGGCTTACTATTGACCAGAAGCCACAGTGGTAACATAAAATAAATTAATACATATTTTGTATGTTATAGGTATTATATACTGAATTCTTATAACAAGCTAGAGAAAATATTAAGAAAAATCATAAGGAAGAGAAAATATATTTACTATTCATTAAGTGGAAGTAGATCATCATAAATGTCTTCATCCTCGTTGTCTTCACGATCAGTAGGCTGAGGAGGGGGAGGAAGAGGGGTTGGTTTTTCTGTCTCAAAGGTAGCAGAGGCAGAAGTGGAGAAGGTAGAGGTAGAAGGGGAGACAGGAGGCATACTTGGTATAGCTTTTATTGAAAAAGTGGACCCATGCAGTTCATACCATGTTGTTCAAGGGTCAACTGTACAACTGAGTAAACCAAGCCACAATTTACAAACATTTAAAAAATTATGGAAAGGAATTTCAGTGAGTTTTACAGCAAAAGTTACCTCTGTAAATTCCACATGAAAAAGTTCAAAACCTTGTTTCTGAACAAGCTTTTGGAACCACGTATCATGAACCACCCTTTCGATGTCTAATGGGCTCAAGCCACAGATCATCATGTGCACTCCTACCTCACGCAAGCCATGGAATGCAAGGCTCATGATGCACTTGCCAATTACTTTTCCTAATTTTCAACTGGCAAGTTACCACTCAATTACCTCTTTGTCAATAACAGGTTCAACTACTGTGTGTATCTCTCTTAGTATTTTTTGGTATTAAGTATAGCTGCCAGAAGATAACCAATCATCACTAACTAAACTGTACATACCATATCTCACCTTCTGGCAGAAAAATCCCATCTTTCATGTTCTGGTGAATCTGTAGGTTTTTCAGACTGTGAGCCAATTTCAAGAAAAACTACTATCCCACTTGAAATCATGTGCAAATAGAGGGAACATCCAAAGTGTACCCCAAATGTGCAAAGTTCTCCAGGGCTAGAAAGGATTACATATTTAAGCACAAAATATATGTGCTGTGCAGACACACTGAAGGCAGCCTTGTCAGACTTAACTCATTGATGGCATAGGCAAGGAAAAAAAAGACATTAGATACTACCTATCTGGACTTTCCTCGCCTTTCCGTATACAGAAATAGAGGATCCATATCTTATTAAAGTGTTTCAAGCTAATGTAAATCAAAAAGGTGAAACTTCTGGCTGGAAGCTATATTAAGCTTTGCCTAAATCCATGTTAACTCTTCTTTGTAAAACGCGTGGTAGAAATTCAACAGTGTATTTATTCATTCACTTACTCAAACAATATTTATAAGCCAGATCCTGTTCTTGGTGCTGTGGATTCAGCAGTAAAGCAAAGGGATTGTCTCTTCTGCTGCAGAGCCTCCATTCCAGTGGGGGAAAATAAGATAAGGTAAGGAAATAAGGGCATAAAAGGTTGGGGGAACCGCTGCTTTAGATGTTCCTATTTGAGAAGGCATGGATACATGAGCTGAAGACTGGATGAGGTGACAGTGAGGCCATGCAGACATTCAGGAGAACATTACAGTAGAGAGACTAACCAGTACAAAGGTCTGAGAACAGCAAGGAGGCCAGGGTGTCTGAACCGGAAAGAGAAGGGGGAAATGTGTAATGGGAGACAGAATCAGAGTTTAAGGAAAAACTCTAAAATCCAGTGAATCTTTACGTATAAAACTGTTGCCATCACAACGACAAAAATTTAAAAAAGAATGGTAGGCCAGTCATGGCGGCTCACGTGGTTCACGCCTGTAATCCCAGCACTCCGGGAGGCCAAGGTGGGTAGATTACTTGAGGTCAGGAATTTGAGACCAGCCTAGCCAACATGGTGAAAATCCTGTCTCTACTAAAAATACAAAAAAGTAGCTGAGTGTGGTTGTACGCCTGTAATACCAGTTACTTGGGAGGCTAAAACAGGAGAACTGCTTGAACCCTAAAGGCGGAGGTTGCAGTGAGCCGAGATCACACCACTGCACTCCAGCCTGAGTGACAGAGTGAGACCCTGACTCAAAAACAAACAAACAAACAAACAAAATAAAAAACCCAACAAAAACTAAAACCAAAAAAACCAAGAGGGGCACAGTTAAATAAACTGTGGCATCGTGGGGCAAATTCAAGCAGAGGAATTATATAACCATTTACAACCTATTATTTACACATAATATCTCAGTGAGGAAAATCCACATAATTGCATGAAAAAGGAAGAAAAATAATATTGACTATATGAACTCAATTATTTAAGAAGGCATAAAAAAACATTTGGAAAGAAAAGCAACAAAATTGAATGCGGGATGCCTCCGGGTGGTGGAAATGTGAGTTTTCAGCAAAGGAGAGATGGGATAGAGAACAGCCAGGGAGGGGGCCCGCTGTGGGAACAGGAGAGAACGATGATGGTTAGATTAGGATGTTAATAATGAAGGTGGTGGTGATCAGAGTCAGGATACATTCTGACGACAGGCACAGACGCGGACTGTGAGAAAAGAATCAAGAGGACAGGGACGTTTTTGGCCTGAGTAACCAGGTACCCCTAACTGAGATGGGGATACTAAGAAAGGAGTAGATTTTGGTGGGAAAGAAATCATGAGCAAACAAGAGGCAGCATCCTCTTTCTTGTATGTTGAACCAGGTTGAGGTGGGAAGACTGACTCAAAGAATCTCAGAACTCACTTGGTTCTATGCTCTGTGCAAACCTATTCTCTTTGAAAATATTACCGCAGAATGTTTGTTATCTACTTAACAATCAGGGAGGAAATAATTATAGTGGTAGGCATCATTTCTTGAACTCTTACTACCAGGCACTATATTAAACACTGTACATATGGTACTGTAGCTAATTCCCACATATAAAAGCACTTTAACCACAGTACACAGCACATGGTAAACTATCATTAACTGTTAGCCATAATACCTGTGAATTATGTAACATTTTAACTGGAATGGAAACTGTGATGATTATTTTAATTCCTAAAAGTTCTATTTCCATTTTTTTTCCCCAAATCTACCATTCATTTTATATCATGATTTCTAGTGTTTCTCAAGCAAATAGGTAGAGTTTTTGTATTTCTTCCTTTAACAGATAGGGGAGCCATTCCAAGGTCCTAACTTTATCCAAAGGCCTCACTTTCTAACTGCCTCCTAAAGGCCCCAAATCATATGCACTATGTCTGTGTGAGCATTAAACCCCTAATACCTACACATGGTTCCACACTCCCCTAAGATGTGTTCCTTCAGTTTACACAAACTAGTTGAGCTACTTTGTTTTAAATACTTGTGCGTTTCTCTTTTTTATTTCAAGTTCTTCCAGGTATGTAAACATTTCTTGGGGTGTATTTTATTTAGCCTCTCTATGTGTTAAAAGAAGACCAGGCTGGGCACAGTGGCTTAGGCCTGTAATCTGAGCACTTTGGGAGGCCGAGACAGGTTTATGAGGTCAGAAGATCGAGCCCATCCTGGCTAAAATGGTGAAACCCTGTCTCCACTAAAAAATATATATATATATAAAACATTAGCTGGGTGTGGTGGCACATGCCTGTAGTCCCAGTTACCTGGGAGGCCGAGGCAGGAGAATCGCTTGCACCCGGGAGGAGGAGGTTTGCAGTGACCCAAGATTGCGCCACTGCACTCCAGCCTGGGCAACAGAGTGAGACTCCGTCTTAAAGAAAAAAAAAAAGGGTAATCTGGGTTAGTTCAGTATGACACATAGTCAGAATGAGAAGTAAAACATTACAGATGCGGAAACTAAGCCCTAAATAAGTGAGCCCAGGGAGGTTGAGTCTACAGTGAGCTGTGACTGCACCACTGCACTCCAGCCTGGGTGACAAGAGTAAGACCCTGTCTCAAAAAAAGCCCACAGAAAATAAAATACAGTATTATGGTAACATGAACACAAGAAGATCCTGTATCTTTTTACTTTAAAAACTGTGCAAATCACAAATAACATTTGAAGTGATAAAACTGAGTTTTCTTCATGTATTAATAGCTTCACTGTAGGGAATTTCTGACCATAATAACTGTTGAAAGTTAAGGCCAGGTGTGGTGGCTCACTCCTATAATTCCAGCACTTTGGGAGGCCAAGGTGGGAGGATCACTTGAGCCTAGGAGTTGAGGCTAGCCTGAGCAACATAGTGAGAACCCAAATCTCAAAAAAAAAAAAAAAAAGGTAAAAAATTAGCTGGGTGTAGTGGAGCATATCTGTAGTCCCAGCTACTCAGGAGGCTGAGGTGGGAGGACTGCTTGAGCCTGGGAGGTCAAGGCTGCAATGAACTATGATTGTACCACTGCACTTTAGCCTGGGTGACAGAGCAAAACCCTGTCCACCACCCTCCCTAACAAAAGCCAGCACAGAAGAAATCATGAAACCTGAATTCTGCCACTAACTAGGTATATGACTAGGGAACTACAACCTCTTTTTGTTTTGGTTTGTCTTCAAAACAGGGATATTAATACTCTTCCTACAGTTTGGGAGTTGGGGGGGCAATGAGATTTCATTCATGGGATTGTAACATATAGGAAAGTATTTTAGGGAAAAAAGGCTAAGAGTTATACAATACAGAAGAAAACATCATCATTAATATTATTATTTATGTATTATAAATATTAACAGCTTGATCAGGAATAGTGAGATACTAACTGAAAAACAAAATCTTAACTAATGCAAAATTATTTTACCTTCATGTTGCAAGCTAATTCCATTAGTTTTTTTGCATTTTCTTCTGAGCGGTATCTCTTAGGAAGCTGAACCCTAAAGAACTTCAAGGCACCTTCAAAGTCTGTCAACAGCAGGTCATCTTTTGAAGTCTCGAAGTAAGAAAATACAAACACATATAGAAAAAATGTGTTGCTGTAAGGATGCACAAGAAACTTTTTATATTCCCAGCACTGTTACAGTCCCCAGAAGACATTTCTTAGCTTTTGTCAGAGCCACCTGCATACATCCACTGTTGGGGTAATGCCAGAGCATAGTGACTACTTAGAATGAGACTACAATCAATGTATTGCAAGGGCTAAACAGGGAATGACAGATAACTCGGCTTATAAATACCTTTAATAATCCAAGGGCAACATTAAAAATAACACTTATTCCCTGAAAGAGAAGAGACAAAAAGAACACTGTCAGTGTTTATATCTGGACTATTATGCTATCTGTCCTCAGAATACCCCACATTTTTAAAGAAATTGTGAAAACTTTAGTAAGGAAGGAAACGTATTATCTCAAAACTACCTTGAAAAATAAAAACTACAAGACCACTGAAAAGCTGCTTAAAGACCCAGTTTCCCATTTTTCTGAGAGAAGAGCTTTTCTTGCCCTATTCTCACATTCAGTCATAAGAAATGCTTTTGCAAAGTATTCCATGCTTCTAAACCAAAAGCAGTCATAAAGTTAGGATCTATCAGGAAATAACTCTTGGGGGATTTTTCCTTTATCTTGTGCTGTCCCAATCCATGTACAGCAACCACTCTGTTGATAAGTCCTATATTCCAGAACTGAATCTGCTCAGGGCGTCTTCCATTCTGCAAATCCTGGGGCTAAGAACAAAGGAAGGGAAGCACTAACATCTGCTGATCACGTTAAACTGCTTAAGCTCCTGGGCCTCAGTTTCCCTAACTAATACTCTCCTAAGGGTTTTCTGAGATAATTAGCTAAAAAGTTTATGTAAATTATTTAGCATGCCACCTGGCCCTTAGTAGCTACTTAACAGACAGTTTATATACTAGTGAAAAACTAGATACAATTTAAAGGTTTGTGATTATAAATTGGTTACATAAAGTATGGCACATCCAAATAATGGGATACTTGGCAACAACTAAGAAAAATGACATATTTGGTAATATTTATTTCTTCTGTTTCTTAGGATATTTCATGCTGAGTGGTAGATACAAATTCTTTATGAATTTTTGTATGTTTTGAATATAGCATAATTAAAAAGGATAGTACAGATGTGTATGTTCAAGTATATGAAATTTAAAGAGAGGATACCAAAGAGTATAAATAACAATCATATTTTTAAATATACACGTACAGAACCATAATATATATAATATTCCATATGGAAAACTTAGGATTCCATATAGAAATTATATATACCAAAAAAAAAAAATTACATATACACATATATGAACACACAAAAAAAGCTGAAAGGATGCTACTTTTAACCAAGCTGCTAAAAGTAGCTAACCTCTAGACAGTGGGATTTGAAGTATTCTTAATTATTTTTACTGAGCTTTTCTATAAATATGTATTATCTTTGTCATTAGTTATGTTTTTCTTAAACAAATACACACACCACACAAAATCCAAAATTATGTCATGGCAAAGATTATTTACTCTAATATCTATCTTCTTTTTAGTAATAAATCTCCTAATTTTTAGCAAATTCCTGCTCAGCTTATTTTTTTTTTAAAATCTCTCTTGCAGCTAGGTATGGTCATGTAAGTAAGTTCTGACCATAAAGTGGAAATACTGGATGGAGCTTCCAGGAAGTCTCTTTTAAAAATAGAGGATGGGCCGGGTGCAGTGGCTCATGCCTGTAATCTCAGCACTTTGGGAGGCCGAGGCAAGCAGATCACCTGAGGTCGGGAGTTCGCGACCAGCCTGGCCAACATGGAGGAATCCTGTCTCTAGTAAAAAATACAAAATTAGCCGGGTGCGGTGGCGCGTGCCTGTAGTCCCAGCTACTCGGGAGACTGAGGTGGGAGAATCATTTTAGCCCAGCAGTTCTGGGCTGTAGTGCGCTATGCCAATCGGGTGTCCGCACTAAGTTCAGCATCAATATGGTGACCTCCCGGGAGCGAGGAACCACCAGGTTGCCTAAGGAGGGGTGAGCCGGCCCAGGCTGGAAACAGAGCAGGTCAAAACTCCTGTGCTGATCAGTAGTGGGATCGCACCTGTGAATAGCCACTGCACTCCAGCCTGGGCAACATAGCAAGACCCCATCTCTTTAAAAAAAATAAATAAATAAAAAATAAAAATACAAAATTAGCCAGGTGTGGTGGCAGATGCCTATAATCCCAGCTACTCAGGAGGCTGAGACATGAGAATCGCTTGAACCCAGGAGGTGAAGGTTGCGGTGAGCTGAGATCACGACATTGTACTCCAGCCTGGGCAACAAGAGCGAAACTCCGTCTCAAAGAAAGACAAAGAAGAAGAAAACTAGAGGATGCACCGTCTTCCATCCTCTAATCCTCCTGGCATGAATATAGATATAATAGTTGGTGTTCTACTCCTCCGTGCGGCTAACAGCCAGAGTGTAGAGAAGAAATGTTACTGCCAACATTCTGACTTTTTTCACAAGAGAGGAAAAAAGCTATTTTTTAAGATCACTGTTATTTTGGGTTTTTTCATTCAATATAGCCAAATCTAATATGAACTAATACAAATGTCTAATTCAGTATATCTTTTCATATCAGAGTATACCTTTAACAAATATGATCATTAGCTTTAGTCCAAGGAAAAGTCACTTAAACCTAGATTTCTTAGCACTAAAATAAAATAACTGCAGAGATCAATTTGGTTTTGACAGAACTGACACTCAGAACAGAATTTGTTCTCTTTAAATACACTATAAACAAAAGCCAATGTGCTGTGGCCTCTGATACATACCTCACATAAAAGCAGGTCGATGATATGGAAGACCATGTAGAGAGGGAATTTTGCAGTGAAAAGAGTAAGAAACCACTGGGAGGCATACATGTGCGCTTCAAGGCTTATATCCAGGAAGTGGTTGTATAGGTCAGGAATGTATTCCTGAAACAGTAAACTAATTAGTTTTGGGCACATATGCATCTGTTCACTTCCTACTAAGGAAGCTCATAAATCTACCAGGAATCGGCCAAAAAAGTAAAATACTTGTGTTTTTCTAAAAATCTCCAAAGTGCTCAGAACACTCATCATCTGGTATTAAGCTGGCACTCAACTCTTCTTTCCAGACCACAAACTAGTTCTAAAGAAACAGGAATCCCCAAAATGGTGACAAGTATTTGGAAAGTCAGTTTTTCTTTCCAAGCTATAAAACATTTGGGAAAGTTTGTTTCACTTTTGTTATGAGATTCCTAACCAGTCAGCTTCAGAGCCTTGGGGAGTACTTCTTGACTGAGCTGGCTGTGGAAAAGGCCCCTACAAAGTCATCTGATCTTTTGGGTGTTTATCAGCTCACATCCATCAGGTGTGAAAGTTTAACACTTTGTTAAGCTTCCATCATAATCACGTAGTGATAAAAGCCATCCTTATCCAGGGATGGCTAAGACAATCACCACTGCTTCCTGGCACCATTTCCTCAATTTGGTGCTCCTAAGTCCTGTACTCTTTATCAAGCACACACTGATTTCTCTTTTTACCTGCATGAGGCGCTCCAACTGGTAAAATTTGCAATGCAAATCTTCAAAGTTTTGCTTGAAAAGTTCTCTGAGCCCATAGTCAAACATGATCTTGACCAGGACACTGAATGCCTGTTCTTCAGGCATCTGTAACAGATAGGCAAGTGGTTGGGTGGGTAGGGGAGTAGTGGGAAATCACAAACATACAAAAGTTTTCTCAGTATATTAAATCCAGCTTTCTACTGTATTACCAGAAAATTTAGTGCTATGCAGAAACTCAGACCTAAGGTTGTGTTTAAAGCATTTATTCACTCAGACAAGGAATAGTTAATGACTACTCTGTCAGCATGGTTCTTGTCCTCGAGGAGTCTCCCACACAACCAGTATTAAAATAACTGTAATAGGAATTAGGTATCAGTGATAATACAAGAAGAGGAAGGCCTGTGTCTGCCTAAGGCAGTCAGAAACAGACTTTGTAGGGAGGGCAGAATTTGAACTGAGCAGAAATAGGCTGATACGGTGTAGGTGTCATCTTTCCCAAATCCTGGGTCCTCTGTTTAACCATTTTTCCTTCCTTAGCTGCTATTTCATTCTAGCAAAATTGTTTTTCTTCCTCATTGTTAAAAACATAGTTTATTATATAAGAACCTTACACATTCTAAGCCTCGCAGTAATGCTTGAAGTACTACAAAATCCTCCTTCACTTCTATTTACATTGCTATTCATTTATAATAATACCTACATTTTCCATAGTTTTATGGAAGATTATTTCCCTGAGAACCTGGCAAGATATTTTCAAAAAGGAAGCACTGTAAATGTTATTTAAGGATTGGTGTGAATGTAGCAAGCCTTCAAAAAAGTCAAGAAGGTGGGCAGGCTTCTGTGGAACAAGATGATGGAGGCGGGCTGAGCACAGAAATCACTGAGAATAAAGCAGAACTAAAGAGCAACTCAGATTAAGTAATAAGTGAGAAAAGCACAGCAGATCATTACTGGAAAGTTAGGAGTATTTGGGGCAAAAGTCCAGATCTTTGAAGTCTTTGTCATGGAAGGCAACTTCACTTTGCCACATGCAAGGAGATGCGGCCAACCCATAGTGGTGATTCTGACGGCAGGTAGCCCATCTCCTCTCACTCTAGAGCAAACATTTATAACACTATAGCAAGCCAAGAGTTCAAAAACAAGACATGGAGGGTCTGGATTGGGAAACCCATTTTCAGGGGATAAATGTCCCTGAACTGAAAGTGAGAATGAAGATAAACCACCCAGGCTTGTGGGACTTTGAGATATAAAGTCTCATTAAAACAACAAAACAAAATAGAAACCCGAACTCTTTACTCATGTCATAGCTTTATCATATTTTTACGTGACTACCAATAGCAACAAGCTGGGTTCAGGTAAGAAAAACCAAAGTATTTTTGTTTTACTTGTACAGGTTGAGCAACCCATTTCTGAAAATACGAAATGCTCCAAAATCTGAAACTTTCTAAGCACTGACATGATGCTAAAAGTATTTAAATGCTCATTGGAACACTTTGGATTTTTGGATTTGGGATGCTCAGCCAGTATAACGCAAATATTCAAAAATCCAAAATCCACAACACAAAGTCCCAAGCATTTCAGATAAGGGATACTCAAACTTGCACTGCAATCTAAATAAAATGGCTTCATACCCTTAGAGAAGCAATATTCAGACTCCTTACCTGGCTCCAAAGCCCTCCCTACATCTCTCCTCTACTCCCAGTCACTCAGGATACTCCAGTCACACTGTCTTCCTTTCAGTTCTGCCCATACAACAGGTGTTTCTCCAATTTAGGACTTCTATATACTGTACTATTCACTTTGCCATTAACACTCTACTCTCTACTCCCTTGCTTTTCAAACAGGTCTATTATTTTCGTAACAACATTTTAAAAAGTTAACCACCACAGAAAACTATAAAAGAAAATGATATCCCTTATCATTTTCCAGGTTGCCCCTTAACAGCCACTTCCCCTGAGAAGTCTTTAATCTAAATAAGACTCCCTTGTTACAATCTCACACCAACCTTTTTAAGCCTTCATAGCACCACTGAAAGTAACAAATTATATGCTTGTGTAATTGTTTAGAGCTAGTCGGATTCACCAGCTCTGTATCCATGAAGATTGAGACCATGCCTTTATTTACCTCTGATCTTCAGTACAGTACAGATCACAACAGATACTCAAAACTCTTTGCTGACATTCCCAGTGTGTTATTCTTGCCAAGCATTTTAAACTGAATCATAAGAAAATGAGACAAATCCAGAATATGGTGCATTTTATATGACAATTTGTCTGAATTTTTCAAAACTACCAATGACATGAAACAAACAAAAAAAAAAAAACGACAAAGGAGTAATGTAGATTAAAAGAATAAAGAGAAATAATTCAATATCTGAATCTTCATTAGATCTTGATTAGAAAAAAAAAGCTAGACTCTCTGGAGTAGACAATTGGGAGAAAATTGAATGTGTATTGTGTATTAGACATTACTGAATCAATGTGTAATTTCTTGAATGTGATCATGGTATTATATTATGGTTATGATACACAATTCCGTTGCTCCCAGAAAGCATACATAGGATCAAGTATTTAGGAGTCTGTTATTTACTTAAAAAAAATTTTTTTAAGTAAAAAAGAAAATATGTGTTTGTGTGTGTGTACGGAGAAAAGAGAAAAAGAAATGCAGGAGAAAAATTTAAAAAGCAGTGTGGAAAAATATTAACTGGTGAATTAGATAAAGACTATTCATCTTAACACTGTTTAGTGTTTTCTGTGGAGTTGAAAGAAAATAAAAAAGGGGGAGGGGACGGGAAAGGTGTTTGCTGAGTGAATGAATAAAATGGCACTAAAAGAAAGCCAAACTTTCTGCCTTCCTCCTACCCCAATACATAAATCTCAAAACAAATATTAATGACAGTGGCTACTTTAGAGAAGATAAAATGTCCCCAAGGGTTCAACCAGCATCAGTCTATCCCATAATCCTAGAAATAAAAAGGAAGTCTACCCTTCTATTAGTTTTCAACACTACCATTTGTTTTCATCATATATCTCTTCCACAACAACATTAAGTTAATTTAAGGAAAAAGTTTCCAGCTATAGGAGTTAAAATTCATGCCTAAGAGTCTGTCCAAACCCAATATAAAACCATGCTCAAGCCTAAGGTTAGCATAAGCTGAGGCAGGCTATGTGTTAAGTTGTAGCAGAGACCTAATTACTCACATGGAGAAGGAGCACAGCAGCAAGAAATGACTGGCCCTGGCAATAGCCAATCTCTTCATCATACACAGAATAAGCCTGGAAAAAAAAAAAAAAAACACACACACACACACACATACAGGAAATGTGAATGAATGTAGCCACTTGAATATGGAACCCTAGAGGAGGCTACCCACCCTAGGGCAGCATTTTGACAGACAATAAATGATGCCAATACTTCTCTCCAATCCTAAAATGAATTCAGCTATCACCATTCCATCTCCTATGATGAGGGAGATGGGAAGATTAAGCAAAAACCACTCCCGCACTAAAAAAAGTTTTCGTATTTCCTTGTTGTTGTTCAAGCTGTTCCCTCTACTTGGGATGTCCTTTCCCGCTCTCTGACTGAAACATGCACTCTTCCTTCAGTCAGCAAACTTATATCAATTCCCCCAGAACAAATCCCTCTCTTCTCTGCCTCTATGGCACCTGCTACACATGCATGGTTATTATTGTATTATTACCACATTGCGTTTTATTTTATTTTAAGAGACAGGGTCTTGTTCTGTTGCTCAGGCTGGAGTGCAGTGATACAATCACAGCTCACTGCAGCCTTAATCTCCTGGGCTCAAGGGATCCTGCCCCATCAGCCTCCTGAGTAGCTGGGACCACAGGCATGCACCACCATGCCTGGCTAATTCTCAAAAATTTTTTTATAGAGATGGAATCTCAATTATGTTGCCCAGGTGGGTCTCTAACCCCTGGGCTCAGGCTATTCTCCTGCCTTGGCTTCCCAAAGTGCTGGGATTACAGGTGTGAGCCAATGTGCCTGGCCCACATTGCACTTTTTTTTTGTTTAACAGAGATAGGCTCTCACCATGTTGCCCAGGCTGGTCTCAAACTCCAGAACTCAAGTGATCCTCCTGCCTCAGACTCTCAAAGAGCCAGAATTATAGGCGTGAGCCACCAAGCCCGGCCCCTCATTGCATTTTAAATGTCCATCTTCCCCACCAGATGGTAGGCTTTGTGAGGGACAGGGTGATGTCCCATTCAACCTAGCCAGCACCTCATATACAGCATGTGCTCACTAAACATTGTCAATTTTACTCATTTTTCTTTCTGGGAAAGCTCTTTTGGCAAAGACACCAAAATATAATTCTTTCCACAATACCAGTAATAACTTTTCTGATAAGCGAGATGACTCTGAAACCATTTGTGGGTTTCTCTGGAATTCTTACTTTTGATTACTACCCATCTCCTCTGAACATCACTTTGAATAGAATATTGACATCTAACATTCTTCATGGTTTACTCTTTGATTTTTTAGTTCTTTTTCAGAGTTCTGTTTTTATGACTAATACTTGCAGTTCTCATGTAAATGTGGTAGAAAGGGAAATTCCTATAGCTTCAAGATGCTATTCCTTGTTTGACAAATTTATTTTTTATGAAACTCCCTTTGTTTTCCACTTATTTTTTGTGCCAAGGTTCCTCTGTGTCTCAAGAAAACAACTTAGAATTGGGTATGTTTACAATATATATCTGTTAGCAAAATATGATGCCAATACATATCAGATGCTAGTCAAGTTAATATGCAACCAAGTTTTATCACTAGCTTTAAAATATAAATATATTATGATCATATATTCATAAATTTGCATAGAATTCAATGTAATCTTATTATACCATGCCCATTTCATCACAGCTTATCTGATAAGAAGGCTACACAATGAGAAACATACATACTTTTCCAGAGACAAGATGTGCAAAGAGGGCTTTAGAAATGATCAGTTTATAATACAACAATGCACCACTTTTCTACCAAATTAGTAACAATTAACAAATGTTAATGCCAGTATTAACACTGTGTTAAAAATGAGCAGTAATATATGCTAACACAGCTCTTTGGAAAACAGGCAATGTCCTTCAAGATATCCATCAATAATTTATCAGTTACAAAACAACAGAGGCTTTAGAGTTAAGTCAGAGTCAGGCTAAAATCCCACAATTGCTAATGTCTAAATTGCTAATGTCTTTTTTTTTGCGAGACAGGGTCTCACTCTGTCATCTGAGCTGGAGTGCAGTAGCATGATCTCAGATCACTGCAACCTCTGCCTCTCATGTTTAAGTGACCCTCCTGCCTCAGCCTCCCAAGTAGTTGGGATTACAGGTGCCCACCACCACACCCAGCTAAATTTTTTATTTTTAGTACAGATGGGGTTTCACCATGTTGGCCAGGCTGGTCTCTTAACTCCTTACCCCAAGTCATCTACCCACCTCAGCCTCTCAAAGTGCTGGGATTACAGGCATGAGCCACTGCGCCTGGCCTAGATAAGGATCTTGAGCACATAACTTACTTTATTTGTAATATGAGAACAAGCCTTGTATTAATATCACACAGTTGATTGTATTATTCTAATTTAGTCCTCTCATTTAACATGCTCAGCAAAGAGCTTCACCAATGATATATTAATAATGATGAAAATCCAGTGAATTTCTATAGGTAGAAAATGGAGGGGAGCATATTTTTAAGGCTGATGGAAGATAGTAAAGGAATCATATAGGTGTGAAATATCATACATTTGGAAAGTGGAGTGTAAGTTTCATGTTGGCTGTAATGAAATCTGGGGAAGAAAAGACATTTCACTAATTCATCAACACTTAATGAACACCTACTATAGACTAAGCACTGTGCAAGGGCTACAGATGCTACCACATCTAAGAAATGACCCCTGCCCTTGAAGACATCACGGTTCAGTGGGGAAGTCAGACAAGTGAATCAACCAGAGCACAGTGAGAAGTTCAATGCAGTTAATGCATAAAATATTTGGAGAAGCAGCAATAAAAGGTAAGTCGATATATTATAAAATATCTTCAACACTAAGCTAAGGAATCTAGGGACATGAACTAAGGAGTTTTCATTTAATTCCATGGGTTATAAAATAGCAGTTATAAAGACTTCTGTGAAGGCCACCAAAATGATCTAATTCTGCATTAAGCAAGGAGCAAAGAATAAACAGGCTAGAACCCAAAGGCAGAGCAGCGTTTGTAAAAGTGCCAGCAACGTAAGATACTGACTTGTACCAGGGCAGTGAAGAGAGAATGAAACTAAGAGAGACATCAGTCATATCTAACTCAACCTAAACAAAGATAGGACTGAAAACTAACAGAAATAACTTTCTCTAGCGGGAAAACAGTATGGGTGAAAAGGAGGACTAATGTTTAAAAAGATACAACAACTTAATATAATGTGGGTCTTGTTGGATCTTGATTCTAACCAACTGTATAAAGACACTTAAGGATATTTGAATATAGAGTAGCTACTAATTGGTAAAGATGGATAATAATCTTATTTTTTAGAGATGTAGGATCTGGATGTCTCAGATTTAAAGTACTTCAGGGAAAAGGAAAAAAAGAGACAGGTGAAGTAACTGTGACAATATGTTGTTAAATACTGAATTAGGGTGGGGGTTATTAACTGTACTTATCAATTAGACTAATCATTATATTAATTAATATTTACTTTGAAATTTTTCATAATAAACCGTGTTTTTAAATGAACTCTATTTTTAAACCCATACATTTGATATACTTGACAGGCATTTACATGGAGACTAATTGTCCCCTGGATATTTAGACCTGGAGTTAAGTTAATGTAGATTTGGGAACATCTGTACAGTGGTGATACCTGAAGCTTTGGGGGTAAAGGGATCACTCAGGGAGATGGTGTAGAGCTAGCAAAACTACCAACTGAGCACCTAGAGAAAGGCCTCTGGTTTAGGGGAAGGTTGTATGAGATAAAATGAAGTCAGTGAAGTCATGAGAGTGAGCCTGTAACCAAGAGGGTGGAGTGCTAGTGACGAATAAGATGAACAGAGAGCTGAAGAGTTGGAAGAGGGGTCCCTGTAAGACATGAATCATAAATAAATGAAAATAATTAGAAATATCTAATTATTTTCTTTTCTTTAGTGAGTCTAAAATTATATTCTCACATTTGACTTTGCAATATCTTTTCTCTCCTTTTTTGAATTCTTGAACATCAAATACAAATTAAACTTTGTAGTTGTCTTCATAATTTCAAAGCAGAACCACCACTCAAAATTGAGTCTTTTTTTTTTTTTTTTTGACATGAAATACCTTGCATATTTTATATAAGGAATCTTGTCCATCTCCTCCTGTGTCCTTAAAGTAGTCATGGGCTGGGAATGTTCGGTTAATATCCCGGGTGATAGCACTGTCCTGGGGAGACTCCTGTGGAAACATAAGGGAAGAGAGGGTTTAGTTAGGTTAATCAAGTAAATTCTTATTCAGGTTTGTACAAGGTCTTCTCATTCACACGTTTAAATGTTGCAAGGACATATATACACATACGTATGCCCATAGATAGTTACTGCCTCTTTAGGGACCAACCACTCAAGCAAAAGCAAATGTAAAGAGGGAAAGAGATGAAAGAAAACCTACGTATTTCACTCTATACACTTCCATATTACACTCCACCCTTACTGCAAAGAAGTACAGCTGGTGACCCTTCCACTCTAAGATGGAAAATGTGCTATTCAAAATGGATTTCCCATAGGAAAATACTCAAACTAATCGCAAAAGGGGGAGGTAAAGTGCTCCCAGTAGAAAAATTGGTGCTTTAATTGATGCTTTGGAATGAAGCCCATATGCCAGTTTTCAAATGAAAAAGAGTAGTTACTTAATTGGGGTTTGTCCTAGGGGCAAATGGCGTAACAATGTACAAAGCAATCTACTCAGTATGAAACAAGACCACCAAATGCCAAGGAATTCAAACAGGCTATGGGGAAATATTCTTCCCTTTTTCCAATGGACAAAAACTGTTTCCTCTTCTATGATGGTTAACTAAAACTAAACAAATGTCAATAATGTCAACAAACCTTTGTAAAATATACCAAGCACCCAACTATTTCTAATATTCTCCCCTTGTTAAATTTCATTTGCTGACATAGTAAAGAACTGGAACACAGAAACATGGCCCTCTACTTTAACAATGCAGTGTCTTCATAGCTAATACAATAGAGTTGATTATCCTTGGTAATAATGTATCATAATCAGCATACTATCAAAGAACGTGATTCCTCTGTTTGAAGATGAAAAATCAAAGTGGTGTTCTTCTCTTGTCCAATAATTTCTCTAGCCTTTTGGGCAATCATGTTCCCAGGGCCATGAATATTTTATAGTTGTGGGACTTGAACTAACTTTAAAGCCAATGCTCTTTCTTAAACAGAAAACTATTTCTACCTTCAAGGACACTGCCAAACCGCTTTTCAAAGAGCTTTAGTAGCATATGTTACTTAGAGTTATTAACACAGTCTTAACAGTTAATGGCAGTTCAGGACTGTGGTGCTCTTCAACAAAAGGGAAAAATCCAAGGGAGAGCTAAGACTACAGCAGCTAATTACATGGTGGCAGCTTCCAGAGTAAATTAGAACTGGGAGTTGAAAGTATCTCCAATAAGTGGGAAGTGGGGAGAGAGGAAGAGGGAGAGAGAGAAAGAGAGACAGCACATGCATGCATAGATTTTGGGGAGGGTAAGGTAGCTAGAATTGTAGGGTAGAGTGCTAGTGAGGAATAAGCTGAACAGAGAACTGAAGAGTTAGAAGAGGGGTCCCTATAAGACATTAATCATAAACAAATGACAAGCTGGACACTTCATCAAAATTTTAAAATCTTACTATTGAAAAAATTGTTTAAAGTATGAAAATTCATAGGCCAGGACACAATACCTACAAAACCTATCTGATAATAAAGTTGGAGTTGTATCCAGTCTATGTAACTCCCAAAATTAATGAGACAGATGACCAATTTTTTAAAAAGTGGGAGAGTATAAAAGATTGAACAGACGTTTCACTAAGGAAGATATAACACATAGCAAATACGCCCTTGAAAAGATGTCAACATTACTAGTCCTCAGGGCAACAAATTAAAACCACAATGAGATTCCACCATATACCTAGAAAATGCTAAAATTAAGAAGTGTTGGCAAAGGATAAGAAACAACTGGAACTCCCATTCAATGCAAAATGGTACAAACACCTTGGAAACAGTTTGGCAGTTCTTACAATAGTAAACATATACTTACCATACAACCCAGTGATTCCATTGCTAGATATTTACCAAAGAGAACTGAAAATATAAATGCATGAAAAGACTTAAACTAAAATGTTCACAGCAGCTTTATTCTTAAAAGCCAAAACTGGAAACAATCCAGAGTGAACCAGATGAATTTAGGAATTCTATAAAATAACAACAAAAGCTTTAAAAGATGCTAAGAATGACAGACTGTGGCTTAAAGACAACCAGAAGGCTAGAAAATTAAACTGAGAATTGACAGGAATGTGGAAACCTTCAAAATATTTTACATCAGTTTTATCAATCATATCACACTGATGATGGAGATGACAACCTAAAAAAGGATACGGTTATTAGAGATATGAGATTTGGGCCAGGCACGGTGGCTCACACCTGTAATCTCAGCACTTTGAGAGGCTGAGGTGGGCGGATCACTTGAGTCCAGGAGTTTGAGACCAGCCTGGCAACATGGTGAAACCCCGTCTCTACTAAAAATACAAAAATTAGCCAAGTGTGGTGGCGTGCACCTGTAATCCCAGCTACTCGAAAAGCTGAGGCGTGAGAATCGCTTTAGCCCGGGAGGCACAGGTTATAGTGGGCCAACATCGCGCCACTCCACTGCAGCCTGGGCGACACAGCGAGACCTGTCTCAATTAAAAGAGAGAGAGCTGAGATGAGATTTGGAAATTCAACTGCACATAGGATGTAAAAAAAAATAACAAAAAACTGAAAATACTCTTTATAACTGGGCCAGTTCTTATCAATCTGCCATCCCTTATCCATTAATTATAGAATTATCACGGAATGAGGGGCAAAATATGCCCTTAAGAAAGGTCAATTTGAACATTCACACTCAATTTTTGATGTCTTCAAGAATGATAATAAATTGAAGAGTTCCATGTGAATAATTTGCTTAAAATATTTGGCCTTAGGAAATATGCTGAAGAACTTGGAATAAATTCATTTGACTTGCTGGAGGCCACATCATGCAAAAATGATGCAGAAATCCTAATAATGATGAATGTATTAAGTTCCTATCAGAATGACATTAAATTTGAAAAGGTTCTGAAAATAAAACAGCAATATTATAGATGAGCTCCTAAGAGAACACAGCAAAGAGCTTTTGGAAAACATCCAAAGCAAGTGCTTATAAAATTAAGCTTTACAAATATATACTCCTTTTATTTCTTTTTTTTTTTTTTTTTCCAGACAATTTTGCTCGTTGCCCAGGCTGGAGTGCAATGGCTTGGTCTCGGCTCACCGCAACCTCCGCCTCCTGGGTTCAAGCAATTCTCCTGCCTCAGCCTCCCGAGTAGCTGGGATTACAGGCATGCACCACCACGCCTGCCTAATGTATTTTCAGTAGAGACAGGGCTTCTCCACGTTGGTCAGGCTGGTCTCAAACTCCCGACCTCAGGTGATCCGCCCACCTCGGCCTCCCAAAGTGCTGGGATTACAGGCATGAGCCACTGGGCCCGGCCATCGTCTTTTTATTTCTAAGGAGTTAAACATAAGTGTAACTGATGTAGAAAGGTTGCCAATGCAACACGTATTAGATAACACCATTCATGACCAAACTGATCAAGTCAACCAAATACATCCTCTCAAGGATGCTGTAGTTTAGTAAAATGGCTTAACAGACAAGCTTTTACTAATGTACTTAAGGTAACAGTGCATAGATGGAAACTTTAAAAGAACAGGGAATGAATGGCAAAAGTGTCAGTTGTTATGTTCTGAAACTTACTGCTGTTATAGCAGAGGTGGCTTTTTTTTTTTTTTTTTTTTTTTTTGGATCAGCTAGTTTTGTGTTTTGGCTAATTCATTTATCCCAAGAAAAAGGCCTGTAATCTCCACAAGAAAACGAAAATGCAATAGGATTGTGCAGTATTGACATCTTAAAAACTTTTCCTGTAAAGGGTCAGGTAAAAATTTTTGGCTTTGCAAGCCATTCAGTGCTGCAGTTATTCAACTCTCCCCTTGCAGAGCGGCCATAGACAATATGGAAATAAACGAGCACTGCTATGTCCTAACAAAACTTTATTTATAAAAGCAAGAGGCACAGTAGTTCATGTCTGTAATCCTGGCACTTTGGGAGGCCGAAACGAGTGGATCACTTGAGGCCAGGAGATTGAGATCAGCCTGGGCAACTTGGCAAAATCTCATTTCTACAAAAATGCAAAAATTAGCCAGCGTGGTGGCATACACTTGTCTTAGCTATTGGGAGGCTGAGGCAGGAGGATCCCTTGAGTCCAGGAGGTAGAGGTTGCAGTGAGCCAAGACCTTGCCATTGTGCTTCAGCCTGGACAATAAGAGAGACAGCTGTCTCAAAGAACAACAACAACAACAAATGAACAAACAAAAATGAGAGGTAAACTGAACTTGGCCCTGAGAGGTGGTAGTTTGTTAACCCTTGTTATAAGTATACTACAACACAGTAATTTGTAATGGTCAACATGACCAGAGAGAAGATTTTTGTTATGATTTTAAATATACTAACATGTTATTGATTAATTTTATACATGCTTTGCTCTCAGAAACTCTGTCACAGCCTGCTATAATTTGAAATGTGTATCTCTTTGAACATTTGTACTTTTTTTTTACATAATAACGAATGTTAAAAATGTTTGCTGCATTTTGCAAAAATCTGTATATTCCTGTATACGCAGTGTAGTAAAGGTTTAAATAAAACCCTGTAAATGTAGTGGTATATAGTACCTGGCATTTCAAGCAGCAAAATAAACAGTATATATAGCTCACAGATTATAAACACATACATTGACACACATGAGACTGGCTAAAATAAAAATACCAAATGTTGGTGAGGATATGAAATTACTGGAACTCTCAATGGTTGCTAATGGGTGTGTAAATAATATAACCACTTTGGTAAAGTACATGGCAGTTTCCCACAAAGTTAAATATATATCTAACTACCACGACGCAGCAATTCTACTCCTAATAGCCTAATCTGTAATAGCCTAACCAGAAACCTCAAATGTCCATCAACAGAAAAAAATGATAAATTATGGTATATCCATCTAATGGAATACTACCCAGCAATAAAAATGAACCTCTAATACATGAAACAACACAAACACATCTCAAAAACATGTTGAGCAAAGCCCACGGTAACAGAAATCAAAATGTTTACCTGGGGG